AAATGTGAATTACTTTGTTTCCAAAATTTCAGTAAATGTGATGCTTTACGTGGTCCTAAACCACAAACAAATTGTAATACATTAGCGGTATGAGGATATGTGACACATCGATTTAAATCTACGCCAACTTCATTTGTACGACTAATAAATTGTTGTTCCAATTCATTTAATAATTGTTCTCGATCAACATGTTCTTGTAATGGATGAAAACGAAGTAATAATATTTCTTGATCATAATTATGTAATTGAGAAAATTCTAATAATGGATCTTGTAAACGTCGACCTTGTGAAATAGCCTGACGTAATTTAGTTGGATAATCACGAAAATCTTGTTCACTTTTTCGTGATTGTGAATAAATTTTAGGTAATTCATTATCAACTAATAAAACGGGTATAGGCTGTGGTTGTTGTTGAAATTGTTCATCATTTCGATGTAAATCATCCGTTAAGTCTTCTATACGTTTTTTAAGAAAAGTACACTCACGATTTTCAATACCTATTAAAAGAAAAACATAGAATTATACACAATGAAATACAGTATTATGATGGGATATATTGTTTGATCTACAGTAGGAAATCTTAGATCGATGAATAAGTTAACTATTTGGAATTCATTAAAAAAACGTTATATCTTACCAATACAAACAACATCTGGTACTCGTTGTCGAATAAAATTTTTTAATTTATGAAAATCTTCGGCTTTTTTCAATCGTATATCTGTTGATCGTGCATCGTATGAACGTGGATCACTTGGTTTGCCATCTCTTAACATTAAATCGGGTAAACGAAGAAAATCCATTACTTGTCCATTTTCATTCACAATACATGCATACGACACATCATCTAAATCCGTTGCATAAGCAATACTTAATACTCGAATACCTTCTCCATTTATTCCATTATTATTATTATCATCATTCAATGTTCGATAAGGTCCAATTTTTAACCATTCATGTAATGTGAGTGCTGATTGTTTTAAAACGTATTGTTTTGCTTCTTGTAATAAAATTTCTTCTAATTCTTTTTTGAATTTTGGATATAGAAATTTTTCTAATGCAAGATCAAGACATAATGAACGATATTTATTCCATTCTTGTACAGTATCGCTATATTCATCACGTTGATAAGAACGTTTGATTTCATCACTATATTTGACTGAAGATAATTTTGAATCAATAACATAATCAATGGTCACTAATTGATCTTTATAGGCTTGATATAAATACAAATATTGATCATTTTGAAATGTGTGAACAGGCTTTTCTAATAAATATTTAATTGAATAACACGGATGATCTTCATTAATCGTTTGTTCACCTAAATAAAAGAATGACTAGTGAAGAAATATGAGTTAAAAACAATTGGTTAATTTGAAAAATATCAAACAAAACTCGTAACAACAGCTGAAACTCTCAACATAGTGGAGAGATAGTGATGAATAGGAAATTCTGCATCTACTGCATATGCGTTCGAAAAAAACTCATAATAAGATTTCGTTAAGATCCCTTTTGTAGTAGCACGTTAGCCCTCTCTAACTTGCTGTAAAAAATATAATCTTTAGTTCGGTTTTACAAACCAACAACAAATTATTATCAATGTCAAGTCCTGTCTACAAATTAAAAAAAAAAGCTTTCTGCGACGCATCGTTACCAAGAATTCCCGTGCGTGGCGAAAGCTCTGAAGCTAAAAAAACAGTCTTGAGAAAAAGGCAAAAGCAGTTTTGATTCTGTTAAATGCGTTTTACTTAAAAACTGTTTGAGCGTTAAATAATTTATTAATACTTTGCTACAGGTTGTCGGTCATGGTGTGCGCTTATGCAATACAAGTGCAAAAAAGCCGTCTTTTATCCTGCAGATGTTCTGAAAACTCGCTCAAAACCTATGAAAAAACTATCCTATCGACACAAAAATTATGCCACTGGAAAGTAAACACTTTAGGCTGTCCAACCATGCGCCTTTCTGAAATTGATATTTTTGACGAAAATCGGCATTTCTGATTTGGGGAGGGGGGGGGCTTAAGCAATAGAATATGTTTCTACCAACTCCTTGATACGTTTCTGATAGAAAAAGTCGAAAATTTTGATTTAAGGATTGCTAGTTTATCTGCACATGTCCTTCAGTACAAACAAAACCGAGTTTAAAATATCAAAATTTCATAGTTTAGAGTAGAGAAACAATAATCACAATTATATGTGATGACTATTTTCATTTCTGCTTGCAAAACTCAATATTTCTCATTTGTTTTTTGCTTACCTAAACGTGTTGGACGAACATTTATCATACATCGTCGAATATATTCTTTACGTATAACATAACGTACAAGTGGATCCATCGACAATTGTTTTGCATGCATATAGACAACTGCTTGTAAAACAGATTTTGTATCGGGAAATTGTTTTGTTATATAATCTTCACATGTTTGTATTGGATCTATTGGATATTGATCAATTTCATTTTTTTGATAACCATCATGTAAATTTTCACCAAATTTATCCGGTTTTAAACCAAATTTTTTTGCAAGTCCATCTAATTTTCCTTGTTTACAAAGACTATATAAATCATTTTTTGTTTGAATATTTGATTTAATATTTAATTGTTGACGAAATTTATCTAACAAAGTCTCTTCATCCATATCATCATGTTCATCATGCATATGTAATTGTTGTTGTTCATCATCACCATCTTCTAGTAGATTTACCATTTGTTTTCGTTTTTCTTTCTCTTCTTTATATTCAGCCATTTTTTCCATTAAACGCATTTGTGGTATATCATTAGCATAATATAAATAAAATTGTTCACGTAAATCTTCTAATTCTTCGAATGTTTGACATACATTTAAACGTTCTTTATCAATATCACAATCGGTTAATAATTTTGTTGATAGTTGTTCTTGATCATCATCATTCATATGTTCATATAAATATACTTTATATTTTTCCATACGTTCAAACATTGATAATAATTTTTCTTTGCGACTGCTAAATTGCATCCACTAAAAACAAAAAATAAAAATATTAAACAATAAAGTGAAAATTGTAATAATTAAAAAACTTACTTTTTCATCCCATTGCCAAACTTTCCATAAATCATTAATACGTAATTCTGGTTCAATATGCTCTTTACGATAGAAAGCAATAAAGGGAACCTAAAAAAATATTATTTATCTTATATTTTATAATTTATTATGCGAATAAAATGTTTTACTTCATTAAATTCATTTCTCATATAATTCAGAGCATTTTTGATCTTTTTCTTTGCACTCAATGGTTTAATTGTTTGTTCATCATTTGGCTACAAATAAATATAGAGAATGTTGTGTATTTTGTTAAAAACATTGAATAATCTGATTTATTTTACCTGTGTCGATATTGTTGGTTTCAGAAATGCAGCATTATAAATCCATTCTGCTTCTTCTTCAAGTTCTTTTTCACTTGCTTCGGTAACTTCCGTGGTTCGTAACTTAAATTAAAGAAAATATTGTCAATTATAAATTATTAAAAAAAAATAGAACAGATATCTACCTGAAATCTTTCTGGACGATCTAACATTCGCACATTAATATCAAATTCTGTTAAATAACCTCGTTGTAATTCTTCTGGTTCAAATAATTCTTCGGCTTTTTGTTTACGTTTTTGTCGTCGTATTTTTGTTGCACGAGCACGATGTTTTTTATCACGAACAGTTTCATCATCCTTAATAAATAGAATATACATCAGACAAATCGAATCTTTACTGTTTTATACTAAATTACCTCATCCTCATCACCTGCCTCCTGCTCATCCATATCATCACTCATCATTTCTTCATCATCATCTTCATCGTCCAAATCTTGCTCATCTAAAATATTCATTTTCTATTAATAAATAAAATAGAAACAAAAAAATTATGCACATCTACCATCCACATCTTCAATATTTCTATCCATATCATTTTCATCAATATCGGCAATATCGTTCCACGAAAAACCTTCACCGAATATTGCGTGTGCTTCAGCTATATCTTCTCTTTAAAAAAGTGAAAATAAAAATTTAAAATAGATTATGACATGAGAAAATTGCTTACGGTGCATTATGTACTGAACGACTTTTTTTTCTATTGGCTATTGGTTGATTTTCATCATCAACAATAAAATCATCATCTAAATCAAACAATATAACAAAGTATATCTCTTAAATTAATTGATAAAATTACCATCATCGTTGATTTCTTCTTCAGCAATCGATTGTTCATCATCACTAGCTGTTGTTGTCTGATTCTAAGAGTTGAACAGAAAATTTTAAAAAAAGACAAAAAACATCTACAAATTCATACTGACCGCTTTTTTGTCATGAAATTTTGCTTCAGTGTCACCATGTCTTTTTCTCTGTTGTTGTTGTTGTTGTTGCTGTTGTTGTTGCTGTAGTTGTTGCTCTTCTTCTTCGTCATCATCATCATTTTGAATTTGAACACGTTTAGGCTGAAAAAATGGTTTAGAGTACACAGTGATGGTGAAATTGTTAACAAAAATAGAAATACATGAGACTTTACAGTTTACAAAACTGATATACAAATAATTTAACAGTTACCCGTAGCATCAGTTTAGTATCTCCAGAACGAAATTGAAAATGAACATCCTCTTTTTATAGAAATCTAAGAAACGTGCTTCAGATAGTCATAGAGTATAGAAATCTGAATCAGTCTTTTCACTCACCTTGCGTCGAATTTTCGTGTTTAGATTCCTAAATAAAAACAATCAGATAATAAGCATTTTTAGTTCAAACCAAATTGTTGCTACATACTCTTCAATTAACGACCTAAAATATAGAAAAATATCGTAAATTATTTTAGTACGTCTAATATAGTGTAGATCAAGAGCAGTGTCAAATCGAAATTAACTTACAAATCTTCATCGTCTAAATCGTCGTCACTTTCATCACTTTCGCCCGAGTCAACAACTGAAACAACGATTTAAAAAAACATTAAAATATTGTTTAATAAGTGCAGCTTATTAAACTAATATTTACTCACCTTTATTTTCTTCCTCATCATCTTCGTTGATGAAATTGGCGTAGATTTAAATCGATGTGTCACATATCCTCATACCGCTAATGTATTACAATTTGTTTGTGGTTTAGGACCACGTAAAGCATCACATTTACTGAAATTTTGGAAACAAAGTAATTCACATTT